TGATCAATGACGTGCTCATTTTCCGCCTTCTAAGCTTAAATCTGAACTGAATAATCCAACATCTTTATACTTGTTTGTAAATTTTGTCTGTATTGATTCAGCTATTAAAGTTTTAACTTCATAAAAAGCACAAGACATTTAAAAAAAGTGTTTAAAATAATGATTACTTTATTGTATATTTGTATAGAAATATAGAGTGAAATGTATTTTTTTGCGTCTCCAGTCTGTGCCGCGGTGGTTTTTAGGGTCACAGGCTGAAATGTGTGGGACCTCAATATTTTGGTTAATCTTCTTTCATGACAGTCCACTGCGTTCGTGTCCTCTCTGTCTCTGCAGAGCTATCTGGACAATCTTCAGGTGGACATCGGGAAGACTCTGGAGAAGGTGAGCAGCAGAGAGAAATACATCAACCGCCAGCTGGAGAACCTGATCCAGGAGTACCGCAACGCTCAGGCCAAACTCAGAGAGGTAACCCAGACTCATACCTCCAATGCAAAAACACCAAAACATGTAAAACTTCCAACGATTCAGTTGGATTGATTAGTGGGTGTGTCCTCCATTAGGAAAAGGAGCTTTACAAGCAGGCATGCGGAGGAGTGACAGAGAAAACCAGAGTCCTGGCAGAGGTCAGTGAACACATCGCCATTTTCCCTGTAGCTCCAGAAAACACTGACACAGCTTGCTCTATTTAAATGTCTCAGATCAGCGAGGAGCTGGAGAAGGTAAAGCAAGAGATAGAAGACAAGGGCCGCAGCATGTCTGATGGAGGTGAAGCAGACGTAAACTGTCAGAAGTCCTTGTTTCCCCCTCCATCATGTCTGACCTCCTCCCTTCTTCTCTGCAGGCCCGGTGGTGAAGATCAAGCAGAGCTTCACTAAGCTGAAGCAGGAGATCACCCAGATGGACGTGAGGACAGGCGTGGTTCAGCACCAACTGCTGCAGGCCGAACTCATGGTGAAATCCAATATGACACGTGACATGCACGCCACCGAACACACCGCTGGGCCTTTGGGCTAGTCCCTGTGGTAAGACGGGCCCTCCTAGACCTCAGTGAGGTTCTGCTCGTCCTGATGGACCTGGAACAGTTTTTACTGCTTAAATCTGAACCGATAATCCATCAAAAAAGTGTCTTATAGAATATGCAAAATATTTATTTGGTTTCTTTATGTATCCTGTATTTTTATCATTTGAATAAAAGATTTTTTTCCAAACACTTGAACTCTGTGATTAGACATTATGTCCACTAGGTGTCCCCCTTTCCACATCCAAATGAATGTTGATCATCAATCAGATGCAGAGATGCATTTAACTAGAGCAGACATACAGGTGCTGGTCATAAAATTAGAATATCATGAAAAAGTAGATTGATTTCAGTAATTCCATTTAAAAAGTGAAACTTGTATATTATATTCATACATTACATACAAACTCATATATTTCAGATGTTTATTTTGTTTAATTTTGATGATTACAAATGACAACAAATGAAAATCTCAAATTCATCATATCAGAAAATTAGAATATTGTGAAAAGGTTCAAAATTGATGGCCCCTGGTGCCACACTCTAATCAGCTAATTAACTCAAACCACCTGCAAAAGCCTTTAAATGGTCTTTCAGTCTAGTTCTATAGGCTACACAATCATGGGGAAGACTGCTGACTTGACAGTTGTCCAAAAGACGACCATCGACACCTTGCACAAGGAGGGCAAGACACAAAAGGTCATCGCTAAAGAGGCTGGCTGTTCACAGAGCTCAGTGTCCAAGCACATTAATAGAGAGGCGAAGGGAAGGAAAAGATGTGGTCGAAAAAAGGGTACAAGCAAGAGAGATAACCGCACCCTGGAGAGGATTGTGAAACAAAACCCATTCAAAAATGTGGGGGAGATTCACAAAGAGTGGACTGCAGCTGGAGTGAGTGCTTCAAGAACCACCACACACAGACGTATGAAAGACATGGGTTTCTGCTGTCGCATTCCTTGTGTCAAGCCACTCTTGAACCACAGACAGCGTCAGAAGCGTCTTGCCTGGGCTAAAGAGAAACAGGACTGGACTGCTGGTGAGTGGTCCAAAGTCATGTTCTCTGATGAAAGTAAATTTTGCATTTCCTTTGGAAATCAAGGTCCCAGAGTCTGGAGGAAAAGAAGAGAGGCACTTCATCCACGTTGCTTGAAGTCCAGTGTAAAGTTTCCAGTCAGTGATGGTTTGGGGTGCCATGTCATCTGCTGGTGTTGGTCCATTGTGTTTTCTGAGGTCCAGGGTCAACGCAGCCACATACCAGGAAGTTTTAGAGCACTTCATGCTTCCTGCAGCTGACCAACTTTTTGGAGATGCAGATTTCATTTTCCAACAGGACTTGGCACCTGCACACAGTGCCAAAGCTACCAGTACCTGGTTGAAGGACCATGGTATCCCTGTTCTTAATTGGCCAGCAAACTCTCCTGACCTTAACCCCATAGAAAATCTATGGGGTATTGTGAAGAAGAAGATGCAATACACCAGACCCAACAATTCAGAAGAGCTAAAAGCCACTATTAGAGCAACCTGGGCTATCATAACACCTGAGCAGTGCCACAGACTGATCGACTCCATGCCACGCCGCATTGCTGCAGTAATACAGGCCAAAGGAGGCCCAACTAAATACTGAGTGCTGTACATGCTCATACTTTTCATGTTCATACTTTTCAGTTGGCCAACATTTCTATAAATCCTTTGTTTTTATTGGTCTTCAGTAATATTCTAATTTTCTGATATGATGAATTTGAGATTTTCATTTGTTGTCATTTGTAATCATCAAAATTAAACAAAATAAACATCTGAAATATATGAGTTTGTATGTAATGTATGAATATAATATACAAGTTTCACTTTTTAAATGGAATTACTGAAATCAATCTACTTTTTCATGATATTCTAATTTTATGACCAGCACCTGTATATGCAGATGCCTCCTGGAGTGGGCTGGACCACTGCTGATATGTAGCTGTGTGTCCGCCATATTGGAGAGGTCAAAGCTGCGCTGTGAACCGCTACAAATAGGATTTTCAAGCACATTTTACCAGTAAATTTTCTGCATTAATGTCCTAGCTTTAATTCACACACTGAAGTCCATGGGGAAAATGGTACCAAACACAATGCATTAAAGCTCCTTATTTTAGTACCGTACTATAACCCATATATCAGTAATTCCCATGAGCTGCAACCATTTGCCATCACCAGACTGTCCAGTTCAACGGACCATAGGGGACTTTGAAGCCTTTGGCATCTAGCAGCTGTTCAATATGTCAAACATCCTGTCAATTGTCTACAAGCAAGTGGTCTGCTCTAAGTATTTTTCAAACAGTTATATGTTCGTATTGTGTTAATATCATTTTTGTTACTACAAGGAATTCACTCCAATTTCGCAGCTTGAGATGAAGTCTATCTATATATCCATCCATCCATCCATCCATCCATCCATCCATCCATCCAGTATTGCTACACTGTCTACAAACTGGTTAATAGCCAAGGTCCCTGAGAACAGATAAGGGGTGTAATTCCAGTTTAGCTGTCCAGTTGAGCTCCTATTTGGACTGTTGCTTGTAGCATATTTGGCAGCCAACCTCAACATTTAACAAGGATCCATCATCACAACACTCTCTTACCAGCCACTGGATGATCAAACAATGTTATTAAGACTGAGACTCAGGAAGCAGCGTCCAGTCTTAAAGGCGGAGCCTAAAACAGAGCAAGGTGTAAATTGGATGCAAGAACAAAAATCACATCCATCTTCGGGATGTAACAATAATATGAGCCTAATTAATGCAACAATGAATAATTCCTCTTGGTTTAGATTTTCTACATACTGTTGTTTTCATTTTACCAGAGTACGACTCAAGCTTGTCTTTCAGCTCGTTGTTGACTTCCCACTAAAGTTCTAGAACACTACACACTCTGATATGCCCTCCTCTCTACATCCATTGCATTTCTTTTCTGTCTCTCCAGACTCTAACCCAATCCAAGGAATCAATGAGTCTGCATTGCATGCATTCTTTTTGCTTTGCTTATTCTCAAGGTAAACAGAAATAAGCCTCTAGGATAAAGGCTCATTCTAAAAGCCTTTTATTTGAAGGGGTTCTCATAGAGTTTAGGCTTTGACAAATTCATTAAACTATAGGAAACTTCAAAATAACTAATTTAAAGTTGGCATGGGAATTCTATTTCGTTTTTTTTCACCAGTTTTTTAAATATTGGGTTCTAATGAGTAGATATATTTTGTATTCAGTTTATTTCAGATTTTCACAAAACTTCATCATAGATCAAATTAGTGTGGAGTAAAAAATGTTGAGATATGTCTGTTCTTAGCCTCACAGGCTCCAAACGAAGGTCATGAGACATAAGAATGAATCACACAGCCTCCTTCATGGCATGAAGGGGATGACTGTTAAAAGATATATTAACCTAACAGGGAGTGGCCCTGATGAACTAAAGTTGTTTTGCTTCGCTCTTCAAGTGTATGGTTTTGTAAGGTATTAATGTATGTAGTGAAATGCCTCAGAGCTCTATCTCTCTGTCCGAGAACGTTAAATAAATCTGAACCTTACTTATTGCAAGAGATGTCTGTCTCAGCTTCCTAACTTCACATTAGTTAACCTTTAAATAAATATTTGAGACCCCCCTATTTTCTAGTTATTGCTGTTTCCAGATAATTAATTAATAGATTGAACACAGTGATAAAATCAGACCAGTAAGCTGCAGAGCATTGATGAGAATGTAGATGGATGTCCTCACAATGGACACTTCTCTGTCCACAGAGTCCCTTATGATGGACTTAAGTTAAAACTGGTGCAGGAACTTATGTTGACTAATGCAAGTTTTTCATTGTGTCTTTGTGACAAAAACCCTATAAGACCACGGTGGAAACTGTTGGTGAAAACTGTAACATGGTCTCGCTTCTCTGGTTTTACTCTGAAGGGCCTGACCGGAAGCTACATCGTTTATTTCCGTTGCATAGTGACAGCATCTGCTGCTTCCTGTGAGGCGAGGCTGTCAGCCAGACAGAGAGCGACTTCTGCTCGGTTTGAGGAAACCTAAACAAAGTTAAACATCATAGAAACCAGAGGAAACAAAGAGAGGAAACCCCGACAGAAGAAATAGGGTTTATTCTAAACTTCCGGTGAGAAAGTGAGCAGAAAAACAAAGCGGTGAGTTCAGCGGAGTACCGTTATTTTCGCTTTGTTTCGATTTCTACAGCAAATGTAGCTGAAATAATTTTGAAAAAACATATGAATTGGCACAAACCTTTAATCTACCAAAGACTCATGCTAATAACATTAATAGCCTATTTTATAGTATCCTATATATGTATTATATACGTGTGATTTATTTCATTCTAATTCAAGTAGAGCAAAATAACAAATAACAAGCTATGCAGATTTTATCAGGGAAAAAATGTCATGGCGTGGTTAAAAATAGCTTTTAACTGCAAGAAATAACACTGAGTTGGATATAATATGGATATGAAATGGATAAGGGGATGAAATAAACTGATGTCAGAACAGGGAGAGTCTAAACATCAAACATCAAAAAGCTGATTTAAAACCTGATTTTTTTATGCATTTATTGTGAAAGTTTGGAGCTGAGCCTTTAATTGGACTCTGGTTCTTATGGTTCGGGTGCTGGGAACTGGAATGGTTCTGTCCATCTCTAACGGTTCGGGTGGTAGGAGCTGGAATGGATTCGGTCAATTTCTGACTGTTCGGGTGGTGGGAACTTTTGAGCTGAGCCTTTAACTGGACTCTGGTTCTGATGGTTCGGGTGGTGGGAACTGGAATGGTTCGGTCTATCTCTAACGGTTCGGGTGGTCGGAACTGGAATGGTTCGGTCCATCTCTGTGTTTCCTGCTACGCGTTTTCCTCCAACATCAGCAGCTCCCTTAGACCGATGCTGCTGCAAGGCATGCTGGGAAACTACCGATGGGGTCAGTTCAGTGGTGGGTATTTGTGGGACGGGGCTGGCTCGGTTCTGTTTAGTTTTCATTTCCTATGAGATGATCCGTGTTTTTATCCCCTGAACTCCTCTAAAAAAAAACAGGAGGAAAAAGGAAATAAAGGTTTTATGTTGTTCTATATGGAGGACCAACTCTGCCGTATTTAAGAATAAATACTGAAATAAATAAATGCTCTATAAATGAATAAGCATTCAATTAATTGCCCCCCAAAACATTATAAACAAATAAATGTAGATAGAAATGAAATTATACAGTAAAACATAAATGTATATATCTCTTTTAATTAGCTCCTTTATTTAGACTTAGACAGATTTATTTGTTATTTAGTGTAAAACAAAAATTAATTTCGTTTGGAACAGCTCTCTGGACAATTTCATCTTTTTAAAAGTGCAGCCTTGAAAAATAGTAAAAGAAGAAATATATAAAAACAGTAATATAAACATATGACTGTAAATTTACAGTTCTAAATGTTTTATTTATGCGCCTTTATAATAATTACCCTATTTATTTATTGTCCGTTATCATCTTTATTTATTACTTTTTTATTTATGTTAATGTTATATTTTTCTCTGTTTTATTCTTCCTTTATTTTTTTTACCCAATTTATTTCTTCAACGCTATTTATTTCTGCCTGTTGTTTTTACATTTCTGTATGCATTTCTGCCTCATTATGTAAATGAGGAGGTGTGTGTGCTAGAGGGGACCAACAGTGCCGCTGTAGAAGTTGTCCTGTGAAACAAAATTTTTCTTAAAAAAGAAAGTCCTTTGATTTGATTAGGCAGGTAAGACTTGCAGATGGAATATTTACTTTTTTTTTACATAATAAAACAACTCTTATTATCTTATTTCAAGTATTTTATATCTAAATTTCTTATTTCAAATGTAAAAATATGCGTTCCATTGCTTGGTCATATTTTTTGATCTGTTCAAATAAAAGACTAGAACAACTATTTTAAGAATTTCCATTTTTAGATCAGACTTAACTGTGTAATACTAAATCAATTTCTTATGGACCAATTTGTTATTTTGCCTATACAATATGAAAATGATATAATGGGATTATAGTTTTCATCAGTTAGATCAGCAGGCTGTAACCTTGGCTTTGTGGCTCATCTAACATGCTAAACAATGCGCTCAATGTCTAGTTGTTCTTTTGCTCTGTGCCCCAAGAAAAAAGAAAGAGAGGCAAACAGCCACGCCTCCCTGGTAAAATTGGTCAACACTGCAAAAATTAAAATCTAAAGAAGTCATTTTTTTTTTTTCTTGAAATAAGTGAATTTTTTCTTGAATTGAGGAGGAAAGAGAGACACTTTGCCAATGGAACAAAGTAATTTACATTTAAAATAGGAAAAAAACAATTGCTTTGTCTTTTTTCAAGAGCATATTGTTTAATTATCTTATTTTAGGGTTAAAATACTCATTCCATTGCCAAACTATCTCATTTACCAACTCAAATTAAGCAGGATTTCTGTAAAATGTGAAAAAGTCTGGAGTTGGTTTCAGTGGATTTCCGGTTTTGAGAAAGTTTGTATTTCCAAACTTTATTTACATCTAGTTTTCTAATGGCTGAAGAAAACAAAGCTTTCTGAAAACATTCATTTTTCAGGCTCTCCTTAAAAAGATGAACATATATTTTCTCATGTTTGGAAGTAAAAGGATATGTTATTCTGTTTTTAAATTTCCTGAACGCAGTCTTTTTTTCCCTCCCTTGTTTTTGCTGTAGTCGCCATTGGCAGCCATGTTTGCCTGTTGTGAAATGTGTCACAAGGTTCTGTTCCAACAGCTTGCTTCATTAATTCTGCTTCCATGTTGTGACATTGTGGCGTTTTACGGACTTCCTTTCTATCTATCAGTGAGATCAGAAGTTTAAATGGATTCTGGAGGTTTCTGTGGTTCTGGTCCAAATTTTGCAGAACAGATTATAAGCAATGGAATTCCGTCCCAACTAAAACTTTAAGTTTAAATGGGACTATATATGATTATTAAAGTTTAGGTGGTGGCTGGGGTGAAATGGGGTCGCTGGACTGCTAATAGGATCCTATTTGGCCTCCATGTGTCTGATGCAGACAGAGACTGCTTCTAATTTGAGCCTCTTGTAATAGAAAATATTAATTTTGTTACAAAATGCTGGTAGGACATAGCACTGCTTTTAATTTGGTAAACTTGTCTAAATACTAGCTTCCATTCAGCTAAGTCCAGTGGAGATCACCCACAAGATTCTTTTCTTCTATTAAAGCAAAACCCATTTAAAGATTTGATTGTACAACAATTTACACATTCTTTGCTATTTTTTTTTTTTTAAACGTTATTGGTTTGCACTCTTAGCCCACTAATGAGCATGTAAAAGAACTTTACAGAATTTGTTTTTACACCCAGTTTGTAAAAAGGAGCGCTACCACAGGTAATTCATCCCTGCTGCCACCAGACTCTACAATGAGACAATACAACGGCAATAAGTTGAAAAACACCCTGTGCAATAACCCTGCATAATAATCCTGCTAAATAAGACACTTCACCAGTACATATATATATAAAAAAAAAAAAAGAGAGGTCATTGGGGGACTCCGGGCAATGCCCCCCAAACTTGAAGAGTGGTTACAGCAGATCCCTGGAAATACATCAGACATCTCGGTCCAAAAGAGTGCAGTTCTAGGAACAGCAAAGATACTGCGCAGAACCTTCAAGCTCCCAGGCCTCTGGTAGAGGACCCGAGCTTGGAGGAAAAAGGGGGGGAAGACCCCCCGCGATGGTTGAGGAGAAGTTTTTATATATATATATATGTATATATATATATATATGGACACATTGTACCTACCCCATGCACCTTTTTCTTCCTTTATCCTTTCTCTATTTGAGCTGATGTAATGAGTCAATTTCTCTACTGTTAGATCAATAAATTCAATCAATTTAAATTTATTAAGTTCTTCTTACTTTTAACTTGAGCTTTTTGGTCTGCATAAAAAAAAAGTTACAAACCCCTTTTTTAAAGATCATTTAAACAATTTCAGGTTAATCTATTATTCAGTTTTTTAAACATCAATCTGTTTTCCCCATGCATATAGAATGACTATTTGACCTGAGATTGTTTCCTGCTGGGCGGCTGCAGCCCCTCACAGACAGTCAGACCTAAACTGATATATTCTACTCAAATTCTGGATTTGTTTATTTCTCCTGAGCAGTATGCATAATTTTATTCTAAAATAAATGTCCTGAAAAGAAGATGAGATGCTGCATATAATACTGATGTCTGTTCTGAACTACTGGGCTGTGAGTGGTACTGGAGGAGGAGCTTGGTACCAGGAGAGTGGAACCAAACAGAAAGGTCAGAGATACTGGGAATGTTTGAGGAACGTTGGATCTTTGAATGCTGGCAACCCGGAGCCGGTTTGTTCTGTTATTTTCTTTTTATTGATGTAAATGAGTTAGTTTGATCATCTGGGGAAGTTAGGCTCTAAGCTTTTTAATAAATGCGCATTATTTGCTTTTATAAAGCAAACACATGAAATGAAATAAAAAAAGAAACTCAAATAAAGAAAAGATTTCAGCTTTTAGGAATCACAAACACTTTCCCAACATCAACGGTTCTGCTTCCAAATCGGATTAATTAATATGGATAAAAAAGTTAGAAGGTTGTTTGTGATTTCTGGATCTTTAGTCTTTCCATGAAAGGGTTAACAGCGACCACAGAATCCAGATCTGTTTGCGTCTTTCAAAATTCAGAAAAAGGCCAAGAGGTCATCTTCGATTCACTCCACCCACATATCCTCTGCAGGAGGGTTCTAGAGGTTCTGGTCGGTCACTGAGGATGTCAGAGTGAATACAAGTGGGTTTGATGGAAGCTTGAAGGGATCAGTCGGAAACGAGTTCCTCCTCCTCGGCTGATAAACAGTTAACAGGAAACATGAGCTCAGAGTCACGGCCTCCTTCTTGTTTTTCTCTTCAGGCTGCAGCTTCGCTCTGCAGGATGTGAGAGAACCGCAGCAGAACCGCTCTGAAGGTAAGAATAAAGCTTTATAAATATCCAGGCTTAAAAAGCTCCTGCAACGTGTTTGGATTAGATTTTGTTAATCCCCGCGGTTCTTGGACTGATCAGATTAACTAAACTCTAAGAGGGGGAGAGCAGAACTTAAAGGGTTTACTTCTGATGGTTCTGCTGCTTCATGCAGAACAACAGCTGACTGCTGAACAAAACTTTTTATTTTGACCGAAAGATTTAGCATTTCTGCACAAAAATCTGATTTAATCCCTGCTCTAAAAGTTGACTAAAGATCAGTTTCCTGTTTCCATGCAGAACCTAAACCTTTGAGGATTTAGTTCCAGCCGCCAAACTGTTGCATCTGTTGTTTGATTTGTTTCTGGTGTCTTTCACAGATCAACAGACGAGGCGCTGCAGACAAACATGTCTCTATTCTTCTCTGGAGCCGTAACAAGTATGTCTCCTTCCATCATAGCATATTCTTCCTCTGTAAAACAGGCCCACCTCATGATTGACAAACTTCACTTCAGTCAAACTATGGAAGGAAATAAAGCTGCTGTGTTCCCTGCAGCCCTTGCCGGCTCAAACTTTTATACGCTGCTCATCATCCTAAGTATGATGCTGCCACCTCCATGCCTTAAAGTCAGGATTTGAACTTAATCTTAAACTCTTTAGAGAACTGAATTTATTATTTAATATTTTCTAGAGCTAAAGCTCAAACTTAAACTTCCCAGCAAGAAAATGCTCTGCGGCCTGAAGGCAGAACAGGACGCATTAATTACGAGGCAACTTTATTAGCTGTGGTTATATTGATGACACTAATGTCTAAATTTTATCCCCTATAATTTTGGATATGAAATTTGAGCTGTTTCTGTATTTACTTTTTTTTCCTTTTCTAAAGAAGGTATTTTCTTCCCACTGTCACCAAGAGTCTTTATCAGAGGAGCTTGGTGGCTATTTGTTGAATTTAAAGATACGGCTTAAAGTTTGTTCTGTTAAAATGCTCATAGTTTACCTGCAGGTAGATCTAAACTCAAACGTCAGTCAGAATCTCAGAGATCGTCCTCACAGCTTCAGGACTTCATGGCGCTAAAAGATGTTTTCATAGGACAGAAATCTCCCCTGACTAAAATTCATTAAACCTGTTCAGCTTCTGCTAAATGTTACTGAAACCCTAAAGAGACGGTTCTGCTTGGCCTTTATCTCCAGCTCTGTTTGGCAGGAATGTTTAAAGCCCGTCTTTATTTAGAAACCTGTTTGGTTTCTGAGTCTCACTGAAGCTCTTCTGTTGTTCAGGTTCTCCTATAAAGCGAAGGCTTCGTGGGAATCACTCCTGTCAGAGGTAACAATCGTCTTCATTCTCAACCTGTCTAACATTAAACATGTTGGAGTCCAGAAGGAAATAAGATGCTTTCTGAGTCCCAAACATCTGCTTGTATATTTGATCACTCTTTGAAATTCTTTCTTTTCTGCATAATAAACCTTTAAGCTCCAGTTTATCAAAGTCCCATTAAAACACTGAAGATTAACAGTGGTATTTTGTTTATGTCACAGAAACGGGAATCAAAGAGTTTTCCTCTGATCAGTTTATTAGGCTCCCTCTCTGAGTTCAGGTCCTTCGTTGTGTTTTCTGAGTTGAAGCCGTCTCTCCTCTGCAGCCTGGATGCCTCCCTCCTCTCCCCCGACTCCTCCTACGTCTGTTACTCCTCCTCGGACGCCGGCGCCCCGTGCTGCTGCCGCCGCTCTCCGCGCCTCCTCACCAACGGCTACTACGACGTCACTGAGGACAGCTTCTGCTTGGACGAGGATGGCAACGTGTCACTGACAGGCTGCAGGACCAATGTGTCCTACAAGGAGAACCTGGTCAGGTGAGGCGGGACCTGGGGGCTGTGGTGGGTTGGGGTGAATCAGATCGCTGACCTCATCACGGGTCGACTGAATGTTCTGCTTGAATAAACATCTGCAGCTCTTTTCCACATGCCTGGTTAGAACGCTGAGCTCATCTCCTGCAGCCAATCAGAGCCTGGCTCTTGACATGTCAGGCAGGTTCCAGAGGCCAGTAAATTCCTCATCAGTGACTTCAGCTACCCAGGGGCCCTGCTGGGTTGTCATTGATGGCTGTTGCTAGGCGACGTTTTGTGTTATGGGATGTGGCTGAGAAACAAAGCTTTAAATCAGTTCAAAACACCTTCAGCTGTTTGATCGTTCCAGCTGCTTCTGCAGGAGCTAGAAGCCACAGCTGCAGGAAAACAGGACGTGTACAGGCGGTTGGTGCCCCCTTGTGGCTGATTTCTCACCTTCAGTTTGTGTCACATAGGGTGTATTTAATTTCAGAGCCTTCATCCTCCAAGGACCCGGTCTACCTGGACTGGGTCTTTCTAGGTTTGTGAAAATAAGGAGACCGGACGAGTTTAACTACGGATTCAAACAGGCCAAGCCTATCCCAGATTCCACCGTTCTGTTGCCTAGCAACTGTTACAATTGACACACAAAGCAGGTAAAGAATAAACTGAACTTCTCATTACTGTTCTGGATGCTAATAACATTTATTAAGGAGCTTCAGCAGCTGTACCATCGTCATGTTCATCATATTTATGGTCCCACACTGCAGATATTGGAATCTGGGATTAAATGTCAACCAAACCCGTTTGCACAGGGACAGATAAAACCAAACATTACCCGCCACATATCTGACTCAATAACCATTTAAGACAACTATTTTCACTCATTTCAGATGGAACTATTCGCATTCCCTTTATTATATTAAACTGCACTTACAATTTTCATGACTGTTTCCCATTTTCCTCTGAGCACGGAGCAGCTGGCTTGCTTGGACTCACAATAACCGACGGCATACCCAAGGCTATGGAGGATACACCAGACCTGTACTTCAAAACGGGCAAAAAGAAGGCTGCATTTTCATTCATCCGAACGGCCGCCACGCTGTGACGTAATCGGATGACGAATGTGGCCTTTGTAAGGGCAAAGCCCCTAAATTCAAACTCAGCATTAGACTTCTTGGTAGCATTGTCTTTCTCTACTAGATGAACCAATAAATCCACGTGGGCCTGACCTTACTAACCATGACAGCAATGGCAAGACACAGCCACATTAATCAGTTCATCCAGTTGAGAAAGATGGGAACCAAAGCAGCTGCCTTAAGTCCAGGAAGCTTTCCATAGAGCCTGTTGTTATGAGAGTAAAATCGAACGCCTCTGCAAATTGAAAACAGCATTTTGCTAAATTGCGATTATATTGAAAATGCAATTAATTGGCCCAGCATTATTTTTAATCATTATTGAGTTATTATGCATCATTTTCAAGGTTTTCCCCTCTTTGTTCCCTTACTACTCAGTGATTATTTTTTTATGTTTTTGTTATACTTTGGACATTTTCTGCACCTTGAGAATTATTAAGATGCTTTAAGGCACTCATTTCATTGGTTTATTTCCCTCTTAGTGTATTTTTCTGTCTTTTTTTCTCCTTTTAAAGTTACTTTTAAAATTAATTTATCACAAAATTATCTACCATGGGGTTATCGAGGTTACACCTGAACCTTCAAAAGCTCATGGACAGTCACAAAGTCAGCCTTCATCACCTAAAAAAAAATAGCACAGTGTAAACCCGGCTTTAAGCTGGGCTTACACTGCAATTTTTTGCCCTTTTCGGGCCGTCTTTCCAGTAGTGCAAGAATTTTCCGATCGGCCTGACTTGATCGTGCGTCGTGTAGTGTACAGGGGGTAAAGAGGGGCGATCAGGCTCTCACGACCACCTCCTGACCAGGAATCATAAAGTCGGGAGAAAATCAAACACGTTTGATTGATAAGAACATCTTCAGGTTTAAAGGACTAATGTTTCATCAGGACTTTGAAAAACTAATTCATGTTTTTTACTTTGGATGAATCAATAAAAGCAAAGTCTACCAGACAGCTCTAGCTGATCAGAATGCTGCAGCTTGCATCCTCAATAAACTAAGAAAGTGGAGCAGATCACCCCAATTCTAAAGTTATTGAACTGCCTCCCAACATCTCTGGAAATAGACTTGAAAAGCACCTATAAATCACTTAATAGACTTAGCTCCATAATATATTACAGACAATGTAATCTACCCTGCACACTCGGAGAAACAGCTTTTAGTTCTTATGATCCTTGAAAACTGTAAAAGTGCTGAGAGCCTCAGTTGCTTTAAATCGAGATTAAAAATTGTTGTTATTTAAAGGCCTTAACTAAGCTATCTAAATATTATTAGTCAATTTTCTAGTCTAAGCTTTATTCCATTTTTATATTTTATATAATGTAATGTAATATTTTATTCATGTAATCATCTTAGTTTATTTGCTAACTTTATTCACTAATTACTTTGTCTTGCTTTTATGCCACTACAGTGTATATTTTTCATCATCTACAGCACTTTGAATCATCTTGCCACTGAAAGTTGCTATTTTCTTCCATGTTCTGTCCTAATGTTTATTGTTTAAACAGCATAACTTTCAGATTTAACCATAATAATTTATTGCATAATCATCTTTTTTTTTGTTAAATAGATTGCCAGACCAACTGGGACAGTCTGTGTTTTTGTCTAATAGTTGTGTCTATTTGTTCTTCTGTCCTCCTCCCTGGGTTTTATACACCGTCCTTGCTTCAGCCAGACCTCAAAGGAGCTCAGTGCAGTTTCATGTTTCCAGACTTTTTAACTGTTGAACGTTGCTAAGCGACATGACCTCCTGAGAGCAGATCCAGATAAAGAACCAGAAGTGATGGCAGCCCCTCTTTGTGTCCTCAGAGTCTTTAGACGCAGGCGGAGACCCCGCAGGTCTCTGGTTTCTCTGCTGAGTGACGTCACAGAGAGCTGCCATTCATGGCTGGACCAGAAAGTCTTCAGAGGGATGTTGGGAACCGGACACAGACAGAACCTGGATCTGGATCAGGATTTGGACCCTGACTGGCCCCAGATCAGCCAGGAGGGGCAGTCTCCTCTGGACAAGTCTCTGTGGTCTGGACTGAACAGCACCGAGCTGGATGACAGCCGGAGTTTCACGTACGGTGAGTCGGCAGAAAGTTTCTGATCTGATGTTGTGATCCTAAACGTCTCCATATGCGTCACATGAGTGCTCCTCTTGGTCCAGATCCCACGGAAGCTCCACCTCCTCCGGACAAAGAAGCTCCTCGGAAGCTCCTAATCCAGGAGGAGATCTGCTCCGAGATCTGTCAGTCCAAGGAGCGCCTCACCCAATCACTGGGCAGCCTCTCTGAAGTCCCGCCCCCTCCTGCTATCTACAGCTGCTGCTGTCAGACGTCACCTGAGCCCACAGGTGAGCCGGGTCAACCTTTCACATCCTCACAAGGAATCTTGTGTTTGATCAGAACCAGCAGCTGTGGAACCAAAGGTTCTGGTTCCTCTTGCTGTGAAACTTAGGATGTTTGAAGCAGGACTTTAAACCTAAACCACTTCGACTTTATTTCTAAAAACTTTATGTATTCCAGGTCTAACGATGAAGGCTCTCCTCCTCATCATCTTCATCATCTTCATCCTCAGCGGCCTCTGCTCAGGGTGAGATTTTTTACTGGTTGGTTTCATGGTGACGCTTCGTGATGCATTTACTGACCCGAGAAAAAAACAGACAAAAGGATGCAGAGAGTAAAAACGTCTGCTTCCTGCAGGTGTTTCTGGTGGAGCGCAGCCGTGACGTCGGCCATGTTTGCTATGATGTCAGCAGTGATGTGTGAGTATGACATCTGATGATGACCTTACAGATAAACCTGGAAAGCAGTTTAACTTAAATAAGATTCAATAGTTAATGATTATAAAATATATTTATATAAAAATACACAGCAAGAAAAGAAAAACTAAACTGAGATATTATGTAAAAGATTTAACAAAAAACACTAAAACTTTTATTTAAAATGTGTGGGAAAAAAACTCTTAATAAAGTGAGCACAAATTAGATAAACATTTAAATAATAAACCTGACAGCAAAATATAAACATAATATAACAAATGAGGAAATTGAAATAAAATGAATTAATAAATAAATCTAATTATAAAGAATAATACATATATCTATTTAATAAAGATGAATATATAATGTGTGTGTGAGTTTAAATTATTAAATGTATTGATACCATTAATGCATTAGTATACATATATTAGTAAATGTTAGGTTTTTTTTCTCCTTTCAGTTGTGACAAAGTCTGGACCAATGGGTGAGTGGAGGAAAGCGAAGACGGAGGTGAGTCTCGTTTGATTGTTTTTAACCTCTGGAGATAAAATAACAAGCATGATTTAAAATATTGCTGCTTCTGTTCCAGGATATCACCTCCAGAAACGAGTGAGACAAAATCTCCATCACCTCCAGAAACGAGGACAAAAGAGAAAGCTGTCTGTTGGTGTGTCACTTAGAGTTTGTAGTCAGGTTGGACAATAAGGTCAACATGTTCTGAGCTCTGGAGGGATTTTAAAGCCAAACAAGGATTCATTTTATAAAAAAAAAATCTTAAATGGATGAATAAATGGTAAGAGATGGGGGACAGCAAAATGAAAAAGCCCTCAGACGTTCTCTAGAAAATCATGTTTGGATTTCTCCATTTTTGGTTTTAAATTTCTGAAGGAGCTCAAATGTTTTTAAACATTAGCTTAGCTTAGCAGCATATAAAGCTGGGAAAACTGAATCAGAAACTTAATCCTATCAGGACAAAGTGATAAACTTCCTTTTTAAAGTGAACAAACAGACTTATAATGTCCGGAAAACAGGTTAAGGTTTGAAGGACAAAAAAGTTGTGTTTCTTTTTTTTTTTTTGTATGTCTAAATGTACAAAAATCAGCTGGAATTCTGCAGGAGGTGTGATCATGATTTACTGCTGGTTTACTGAAGGTTTTAAAAGCTCCTCCAGTATCTTTCACAAAAACATCTTCAGATGGAGCATGAAACAAGGAATCCTTTGTGCCTTTGAATCAGCCAGCAGCAGCTAAAGGCTAATATTATGAATCTATTCAAATAAAAAGGATGCAAGGTGAAAGCAAAGCAATAAACCGACCAGCCTCAAATTTCAGGGCTGACATATAGTAAGAAATAAGGAATGTAGTCTGTTGACTACGTTTTATTCTGACCAGGTCGGATTTTTTTTTTTTTCAGCTTTGGGTTCCAAGTCCTTCACAAAGCTTCATTTGTGACAGTTGTTTCCCTTTACAGACCCTAAGAAATATTTAAAATGATCTAATCCTGTTTTTATAGCATGGAAACAGGGAGTCATATTACTAAATTGAAACGCAAAGCTTAAAGAAGTATTGCGTTTCAATTTAGTATAAACTGAAACACGGGGAGCTTTAAAAAGCTTAACTCCTCCAAAAATAATTGTAAAAATATTATGAAATAATATATTAAATCATTTCAAAAATAGATACTTAAAAAAAAAAAAAGATACTATTTAGAGGAATTTGTTCTCAAAGCTTTTATTTTGAAACCAATCCTCTTTCCTGCGTCTTTGTGGTAGAAAAAAACTAACCAGATTAAATAATAACACATTTTACCACTTAAAGGTCTTTAAGTGAGAACAATATGTTTTAAAAGTAAAATAATGACAAACAGGTTAGAAAGAGGAGTCAGATGTTAAAGCACAGAATGCTTTATAAATGTTAAACAGGTTGAACCCAATGATAGAGTATACACTGGCAAAAAAAAATTACATTTTGAGAAAATGTAGAAAGATTCTGTTTAATACTTTTGTTGTGAAATTCTCACTTGTAGACAAGCTTTTATTATGAAAATAATGTATTTCAGTATTAAACCCCAAAGGGTTTTTTTTTCTCCTGTACACACAGGTTCTTAGGATTATAAACTGAACATTATTAAAACATAAAGTGCAGGTGACAAAGCCTTCATGGCTGCAGAACTGTTAATAAAGCTACCTTTTACATTTCACTTTGAAAAAGGGAACAATTTCTTAAAATAAGGACAATTGTAAGGAAAAATATTGGATTCTGTGGTTGATTTTTTTCCTCATATGAAGCTTTTCACTTCACAGCATTTTATTTTGAGATGTCGCCATATGTAGCACTTTAGGTTTTAATTTATGCATTTAAAAATAGTCTCACCACCATGTGAATTTTTGTTTTTTATATAGTAGAAAAAACAAACTGGAGGTGTTTATAGCACTTGGGTAATAGTTGCCTTGAAATGTCGCACAAAACCCTGACCAAGTAATGTAAAAACAACTACATGTACTGTAGAACTTTATTAAACATGATTTAATCCAGTTTGAATTAGGAATCACGCTGAGAACTAAAATAACGCAGAGAAGAGCTGAGCCTCTGTTTCAGCAGCAGCTCAGGTCAGCCACAGCCTGCAGGGAGATCAAGGATTTGGGAAAATTCAGAACCAGGGATGAACTTTTTCTTAAAATCATTCCAGTTAATCCACAGCCTGAAGAGCTGACAGAAAAGATTTTTATTGAAGTGCCAAAAAGTTTTTATCCTTACATGTCTGAGGTTATCAGACATATTTTTGATACAGCGCTCTGCTTTACTTTGTTCTAAAAGCTGTGCTTCCTGACTGTTGTATATCACAGATCAAATGTTGGTGTAAAATGTTGAAAATGTTCTCGTTTGGGAGTTTGAACTTATCAAGATGATGCTCCGCTGTTTTTTAGGAAAAGGCCTGATGTTTAATAAACAGAGGGTTTAGTCTGCTGCCCCCTGGCGGTCAGAATCACTCAGTGCAGCCTCAGAAGGTACATTTAAAAAAAATGGATTTTTGAAAATCAAATTTAAGAAGAGTTTCTTAAAGTTTTTATTTTAGATCTGTAAAGCACTTAGCCTTAAATTCTTCATGTTCTGTTTTATTTCTTATTGAATGCATTTGGAAATGTGATGCTCTGCTTGTGATAACAGTTTCAAATGTTTTGATTTTTGATAACCGAAGAGGACGAATTAAATCTTTAACCAAAGGCTACACTAAAGGAAACCTAAAATTTAAATGACCAAAGTAATTTAAACAAATGGTAACTGGCCATCAAAATGACTTGGCAGTCCCCACACTTATGTCAAAAGTGTTTTTGGATTTCGATTTCTGATCCCTTGGTGGCGCTTTGGTTTAATATTTCAATTCGTGTCAAATGCCTGTTATCAGTGTTTTAATTAAAGTGTTTATTCTTAAGCTATTAAACTACAGTAAAGACAGTCTGTGGATTTCTTTTTCTCATGAACACCAAAAGAAAGAGTCCAAGTTTAGCATTCAACACCCTTTGAGCTCCACAACTCTTCATCTTTGTCTAAAGATGAGAAATGTATCAGAAAGCCCAGGTTTGGACCTTGCGGGCCTCTCTGCCTCCAGAAACTAATCTGAAATAAACCTGAAGTTCTACTCTGACAACCGTAGGTCCTTCTACCCTCATGGTCTGGACTGCAAACGAGTGGAAAATCCAAGTTAATCGACTTTATATGGAAAAAAACAAAACCGTAGAAACTAGACAACCACTCTGAGAGCGCAGACTTCCACCAAGCAGCACATTTTGTGACTTACACCTATAGTTTAACCTCACGTACCAAATGATAGCAAAGTGAATTGTTCCTTGGCATGATGTGCACCTTTATTAACAATTTCCATGAAACTTATGAAAATAAGTTTATAAATAAGTCCCAACATGACTTTGAAGCCTCTGGTGTCTGTTCTGCTCTCATCTTCTTCATTCACCCGTTCTTGTTTGATCAGGAGATTGATACTTTGTGCGAGGAATGGCTCACCTATTATGTGTTTTAGGCCGAATCCTAACCAGGCCCCTAAGCACTAGCCCTTTATTTGCCCAAAGGGTTCACCACATTTACCCCGTTTACACTACCCTTAAAAAACTGAGCCGAGACCGGTCCGAGCTCAGTAACTGAGATAACTTGTCGTGTGTGAACGGAAACAACCTGAACTGAACCGAGATAGACATAACCGGACCGCGCTAACTGCAGACCAGTTCCCGAGGTGGGTTCGGCTCGGTTTTTTCCTGGCTCGGTTCTCTGATAACAAGAGCGCATGAGCAGAACGCGTCATCGCCGACTGGCTGAACATGCCGATTCACACTCCATTCAAGTACATCCGCGCAAGGTTGCCGTCTTCGCCTGACCCACCGCAAACACGGAAGTACAGCAATAATAATCAAGCATAACTTTCTGAATGTGACGGGCGCCGCCATTTTGATTTGCTTGATTCCCTCCTCCTTCGTCTTCTTCTTCTTGGGTTTTACGGCGGTTGACAAACAGCGTTTGGTGCATTACCGCCACCAGCTGCTTGAGTCCCTCCTTCAATCCTAGCAGTAATACCGCACATCGTCACTAGGAGGCGAGGAGTCGAGATAACCGAGATAAGTGTGACGTGTGAACGGTCGTCAAAACTGAGCTTGGCCTGGTTACCGATCCAAGCTCGGACCGGTCTGGGCCTGGATCGGTTTTTCAAGGGTAGTGTAAATGGGGCTATTAAGGACCGTCCCAAACCCTGTAGTGGGTAGGGTGAGTGGACCATTCAGCCCTTAAATAGCCTATCTGCATCCCTGCAGGCTCACTGGATATTTGGAAGTGGTTGTAACTGCAATGTAATGGTGGAAGAAACGAGTGCATCCAAATGTAAGTTCCGCTGGTCTACTGCATCTTCGTTACACTGACAAAAAAATCACAAATCAGGTAAAACACGTCATTAATTTTTAACAGGGAGGTCATCTTGGAAATAGTTTTATTTGACTGTATACATTTGTATACATTTGTCAACCTGTGCCACAGCCATGCACATGGGGCATCCCAGGGTTGCCATAGCAATAACCTCTTTACTGAAGAGACCATCCCGTTCTGATTTATAACCCCCACCTTCAATCAAGGCTTCGAGTGTGACTTAATTGGGAGTGACACTTATGGGGTGGTTTGTCTTCAGTATATTACTTCTGCACTTCTTTGTGTGGTTGCTGAAGCTGTGAATAGTCTTTACTGCCTCCCTCTGGTTTAGCTGGGAAGTGCTTGTTCTGCCAAATAAGGTTAAAGAATCCTTCAAAAAATTCCTGCATACGAATAATGATTGAGTGAGGCGCATCTTTGGTAAAAAAAAAAAAAATTCACTAAAATCCATCCATAACTTTTCAAGTTAACCAGACACTAAGTCGAATAAAAACAAACCTCCTTGGCAGAGGTAACAGCTAACTAATTTTATTATGAAGTGAGATACAAACTTTAATTTTGACACAAATGAAAACAGAGTATTTGTTCTGTTTTATACCATTTCATCACAATAAAACCAAAACCTGTAGAGTAACTTCTGACAAACATGTCAGTGGCGACAGTGGCGTTGGATGTAGGAGTTTGCCCTGTAATCGGAGGGTTGACGGTTCAAGCCCCGACTCCAACTTTCATTGTTGTTGTGTCCTTGGGCAAGACACTTCACCTGCATTGTCTACTGATGGTGGTCAGAGGGCCCGGTGGCACCAGTGTACGGCAGCCTCGCTTCTGTCAGTGAGCCCCAGGGCAGCTGTGGCTACAATGTAGCTTGCCACCATCAGTGTGTGAGTGTGTGTGTGAATGGGTGAATGAATGTAGTGTAAAGCGCTTTGGTCAAGTCTCCTAACTTGAATAAAGGCGCTATATAAGTACATGCCATTTACCATTTAATTTTGACACAAATGAAAACAGAGTATTTGTTCTGTTTTATACCATTTCATCACAATAAAACCAAAACCTGTAGAGTAACTTCTGACAAACATGAAACATTAAACTGAGGATGTGGAGCACATAGAGACACTAAAACATCAGTTTTTTTTTTTTTTTGCATTTTCCTTCCAAGCTTTAGCTGCACCAGTCACTCAGTCTGACCTTTTTCCAGGGTTGAACAGGTTTGTGGTGAAAAGGGGCGGGGCTTTCTATGGTTACTGTGACAGGAAAAGAGTTCAGCAGTTTTCTGTAGATAAAATGAATCATATGTTCGGGTTCCTTCTTTGGTTTCATCAGCTTCAGGTCTTCTTTTAACCTGGAGATGAACTGAACCTGAAACGACCCTCTGATACATTTTCTGGATCTGATGAAGGTAAACTTCGCTATTTGTTGATTTGGGTTTCGGGTTCTAGAACCACAGAGATGATGGTCTGAAACATATGCAGCATCTAAACTGCAAACCCACTGAGCTCCTGTCTGCTGTCTAGGGGGCCTTTTGTAAAGGTTGTCACGGTAACGCAGCAGCCGGTCATGTCTCCCCAACATGGGTGGCGACATGTCTCCTCAGATGTCCTCCGGACGTAAACGTCTTCCCGCAGAAGGAGCACTTAAACTGCCGGCAGTCTGTGTGAACGCTCATGTGGACCTTCAGCGAGCCGGACTGAGCGAAGCGCTTCCCGCAGTGGACGCAGCCGTAGCGTTTCTCGCCGGTGTGAACGCTCTGGTGCCGCTTCAGGTTGCTGGAGTCTGAGAAGCGTTTCCCGCAGAGGGCGCAGACGTACGGCTTCTCGCCCGTGTGGACCCGCATGTGGGTCTTCAGGTTCTTCAGGCAGGCCAGCCCCTTCCCGCAAAAGTTACAGACGAACGTCCTCGCTCTGGAGTCGGCCCGGCTCTGTAGCCGCCACCTGAAGAAGGAGCCGTGTCCTCCTGCAGCCTGTCTCTGAGGAGCCCCTTGCTGCTCTGCTGTAGCCAGAGTTACCTTGCCGTGGGAGAAACCACCGCTGCTCGCTGAATCAGAAGAAACATTCCTGCTGGGAATAAACCCAGAGGAGCTGCCGGGTTCTGGCGCTGTAGGATCTTGGGAAGTGTGCGGCAGCATCAGGGAGTCAAAGCTGCTGGTTTCTGGCATCTGGTTGGAGTTCAGGACATGTTGGGTGGAGGTGGAGCTCACTTGCCCGCTCGTCCAGGAGACGCAGCCGCCGTCTCCTTTATCTGCTGCTTCCTGTTTGATCGGCGAGGGCGAAGCCTCCTTCTCAGATTCTTCCTCAGAAACTCCACAGAGACCATCTAGGGGCGCAAAGACTGTTAGGGTCAGAGGTCAGCATCACCCGGACAGACAAAGCAGTGAAAGGCTTACTGTGGGGGTCAGGCTGGGACCACGGCTCGTCTTCATCTTCATCTTCTAGCTTGATCACAGTCGACATCTCAGCTGCAGCAGGCTGAAAACACAACGCAGCGTCAAACCTGTAGAACCTGCAGCTGAAGCCTAGCAGGACCTGGACTCACCGTCTGCTCTGCAGCCTCCTGTACTGGTTCTGATGGTGGACAGGTGTCTCTGCTCAGAGATGTCTGCTCATTGGACGACAAGGACAGCTCTTCTCCAACTCCTGCAAAACCCCAGACTATTTGAAACAGATCTGTTGTTTCTCCACAGATCCCTCAATGGCTCAAAGCTCTGGACTTTGAGTAGGCCACTACAAAACCTTCAGAAACGCACTTATAGAGCGGCTGCTGCTCTCATGTTTGACTGTTTTGGTTCTCAGAGCTTGTGGAGGACTTCCTGTCTGCTCCGTAGCTGCTCTGTCATCAGTGGCGCCGTTTAAATGTTTGTTTAATCACTTTTTCATCTTGGTCTTTTTCATCTGATTAGTTACAACATGTTTACAGTTCAGCAACAATAAGAGTTTACAAATAATATTGGTGATGTTCTTCATTATCATCCTTTTATCATGCATTTTGCAATACACTGTAATTTCAAATTGAAATTTAAAGGTGTCTGAGAACCAACTAATGATTTCTCCTTTTAGTAAATTTAACATTATCCTTCTTTAAAACAGTTTTTCTGCTGACATTTCTGACTACCAACATCTATTCAGTTAGCTATAATGGTTCTATTTTCTGGCTCTCAGATTTTACAGTAAATAAAAAGAAGTTCTGACGGTTAGTAAAGTGAAGTGTTAGTACTTTTTTTCTGAACAATTTTAACAAAAATTTGAGATTCTGATTCATTTTGTTCACTAAGGTTTTCTGATCAGTTACCAAAGCATTTATTATTAACTTCTTCAAAAATGTCAAAATCTTCAAAGAAATTCTAATTTCCTTTATTTGATTTTGAAATATTTTTCTTTAACTTTGGCTTGAATACATAGTTTATAAATATATTACTATCTAAAAAGTTAGCTTTAATGTAATTAAAATGTTCTAATGTTTGCTAAATGTTATCTAAGGTCAGTCTCCTTTCATTACCAAATTAAAGGGATATTCCGCTCCATTTAATGGTTAAATCAGATGAAAATCTGAAATATTTATGATAATGAAAAAACACAAATATTATGTAAATGTAAATATAACGTTTAGCTACCTGTCGGTGGCGCGTGCCTCCTCTGCTCGTGGACGCGCTGGTTGACGCGCGTGCGGCCGCCGCTAGCATAAAACGGCGCGCTGCCGCTCGCGGCGGCTCGGAGTGCGGCAGATCGCGCCGCTCGGAGCTCCATGAGCCGCAGTTTCCTCCGCAGAACCTCGTTCTCCTTGCGGCTGCGGGAGATCTCGAGCTGCAGCACCGCGTAGCCGCTGTCTACCAGCTCACAGATCTCCGCCACCGCCGTGTTAGCCAGAACCTCCATGATGGAGGCGAGCTGAGAGTGAAACGAGGAAGCCGGAGACATTTTCCTGCTGATCCAGTAGAAGCAGGACGTCCAGAACCGCTGAAGGCCAGCTAGAATTAAAATAACTTCAGCAGAACCTGTTTATCCTGAGAGAGGCCTCCACATCAACCAGGAATTGATACAATACTTTGTGCGCATGCGTGAAGTCACACGTCATCAATGTAACACAGAATAATCTTTTAAAGAAATTAAAGTGATAAAGAATAAATTAAATGAGTTGATTTACTCTTTTCTAAAATCACTATACATTTTCTGTGGATTTGCAATAAACAGCAGAATTATTATTTTTTTTTTTTTACACAATAATAACCGTATTATTACAATTCAGCCCAGCAGATGGCGACAAAACATCTGCCATAAAATGCCATTAAAATTAACAGAAGTCACAGATTAAACTGGGCGCTAAAATAAAGAATTTTAGCTGTGAGAAAAAAAAAAACTCTTTATTAATTTGTTGAATGCAGAACACAACATTTAGATGTTTGAGGAAATATAATTTTCTTTGGAACTTCACAGAGAATTTTTTTTTTTCTTAAAAAGAAAGAAAAGATCCAAATGTTAGTTTTACCAGAATTACATTTTTACATCATTTAGTTTTACTATTTTACATCAATTAAAAAAATCTGAATTGGTAGAATACCTTTAATTGAAATATGTGTTTATTCTTTAGTGGTCTTATGCTTGATTTAATTTCATTACTTATAAATACAAATAATTTATCAAAAAAGAACAGGTGTTCAGAATCAACTTGAAAAAAATATATTTTTGAATGTACTTCCAATTTAATTCAGTTTATTTACTTTACGTCAATTTCCAGAACACATCATATCAAGGTTCTTTACAGTCTGTTTGATAGAACTAGGTTATAGTCGAGCACATGCTTTACCCCCCCCCCCCCCACACACACACACACACCAAGCTTTGTCCCTCTAATGGCTGAGGAGCCTCCTTTAGTCAAAAATTATTTAAGAATAAAACCTTTTTCTAAAATATAGATGCTTACTCATTTCAAAAGAGGCCTTTTCTCTCTTTCTTTTCAGTTTTTTCTTGAATCTTCTTGTTCCAGTAAGAGTTCCTAGTCAGAACAAAAACCTTTTGTTTTGAATTTCCACTGATCTGCAAAATTTTAGTTTTTTTTTTTCCTTTTCCTGTCTGTGGTGAGAAAATAATTAAAGCCACCAGACAGCTCTGTATTATTTCTTAAAGCCAGAATCCACCTGGAGGAGGAGATGGTATCAAACGGTCCAGTCCTGCCACATCAAAGCTCTGACTGGGACTAGGGCCAGATCAGGCCAGAACCCACAGATGCTCATTAAAGAGGGGAAAAATGTGACCAACATATTTCTCTATTCTCCAACCTAGAAGATGGACATCTGAATTAACATCACTATCCAGTCCAGTTGTTTAAACTGGGTCAATGTGTGTTTCCTGTAGTTGCTGTTTATTTATTATTAAGTATCAAATAAAGGGAAATATGTACTTGATGTATATATATAAAATGTATCAAATATACCAAATTGATGATGGTAATCCCATAATCTCCTTTATTTAATATTCTGCATCTTGTCATTTTGTGCATTGGAGCGCTTTTCTTCCTCCTTGGTTCTCGGATATATAAGAAAAATAAAAATCATGTTCTAAATTCAGTCCAATCAGTCCTGAGAACAATGTTATTTCTATTTGTTTTTTATATATATATATATATATATATATATATATATATATATATATATATATATATATATATCGTATTTAAGTGTTTTGATTAAATAACTTAACATTCAAACATGATCTGTTTCAGATCAGCGTTTATGGTGCAGTAATAAGTTTTCAGCCAGAGGTTGATGAATCACTTTAATCATTTTTTCTCAGTTCTAATACCCTAAATATAACAGCCTGGTTGTAGATTAAATCCAGAGGAGAAAAGCAGCCAGAAGGATCCTGGAGGACGACGACTTTTCCACTGGAACCAACTAGTCTTCCTCTAGAATCAGCAAACTCAGCACACAGAGTTTAAAGGTTCAACCAAACGCCTCAACAAGTCTTAGTTCCACAGTTTGAACACTCCTCAAGCCTTTTAAATGGATTGCAGTGAAGTTAACAGGTTTTATATTTTATTTCAAACAAAACATGAATAATAACACAGCAGACAGAATGTATCAAAAAAATCTGTTTTTAAAACCAAAACAGTAGCACCAGCAGAAACACCATTGGAGGGAGCCTTTAGTGGCCTTGAGCGTCATGTCCCTCCCACCAACAGTATCTGTTAGAACCGTCTGCATGAAACCAGATTAAACCAGGCAGTAAAAGTAGAGCTATAAAGCAGTAGCTGCTCCTGAACCATCACACGCTTTCTCTCCAGAGTGAGCATCCTCAAAATATTCACAGCACTTTTTTCCACAGATCTGTCACAACATGTAAAAATTTTTTTTTATTTTATAAAGCAAAGTTATGTAAAACAGAGAAATCACATATTTTGCAAAGAAATCGAGCCAAGATCCAAACTGTTTCCACTGATGTCTCTAACCACCAGGATGGTTGACGACTGTCTAAACTCAGCCATCGGAACAAGTCTAATAGAGCTCCAGTGTTGCTCTGAGGAGAACCTTCTAGAAGCAGCAGCAATCCACCGATCAGGCACCGCATCCTGAAGGAGCTTCAGACTGTGAGAAGCAAAATCCTCTGGTGGTCTGATGAGACAAAGATTGGACATGTTTGGGGAAAAACGGGTGCCAGTAACACCCCTACAGTGCAGCACGGTGGTGGCACCATCATGCTATGAGAATGTTTTTCAGCAGCAGGAATTGTCAGGCTGGAGGGAAAGATGAATAAAGAGACGTGGATGAAAACCTGCTCCAGAGCGCTCTGACCTCACAAAAAACCCCCCAAAAAATCTTAAAGGAGAGGCTTTAGCTTCACTGTGGGCTGATTAGCTAATGTTATCTGCCAGGGTGTTTAGAGCAGAGAACTAGAGTAGATAAACCTCGCGCTGACGATCGATGCATTCTGGTTGGAAGGGGAACCTTGCTGCTTCTGGGATTTAGCGGTTGATGCAAATAAACTCCTCCCCCTCCCTATATCAAATGCACATGTCAGAAGAGCTTTTCTAATGTTGCTCTGCTTAAAGTCGACTCTAGAAATCGCATGTCAAATCTGATGGACGTATGAACTGGACTAACACCGAATGGATGGAAATCAGCAACTTTCTGTCCTCCCCGACAATTATTGGGGAGATTTCATTCAACCATGTACTGATCACAAATCAAAATAGATATTATAGTTAACTGGAGTTAAAGTTCAGCGTTCAGATGTTCCAGCCAACAATCTAATAAGCATTAAAGGCAAGAATTAAAAATCAACCATAATAAATGTAATGACTTCAGTTCTGTAAAAATAAGCTTAGCATATTTGTGTGTGCGCACTGATCGTAGTTCATCTTCTAAACGTAAAGAGTAGTCTACGTGGTTATGACTCCATCTGCAGCCATGTTAGTACCGGTCTGTGGTGTGTCACATGACTGTAGTGTTAAACTAAGTTGTACTGAAGCGTTTTCACGTTCACACAGTAAATATATCTATATATTAACTGAGCGGGTTGTTGTGTGATGTGGTTTTTAACAGATGTTTACTGATCACTGTAGGCATGTAGAGCATCGTTTTCTCTCCCGATTCCTGGCATTATGCTTCAAAGTGTGCAGCTCTGTATTAAAATACATAGAGCTAAAAATAGACTTATTTCACGTGCCATTATCACTAAAGGAGGCAGAGAATAACTGGACATCTGACACAGAGCAGGAGAGAGGAAGATTTAGAAAGAGTTGGAAAAGAGAGAGAAGACATGCCAGTGCTACGTTAGGCTAGCTGTCCCTTACTAGCAGAAATAAAATCTGTTTGAATGCGACGAGTGTCCAGCATAGAGTTGTAGCGGAAGAAGCTCTGTTTTATAGTGCTTCTGGACAGCTAGAGTAACTTAGAGAGATCACAGTGTCACAGTGTTTCTACACCCAAGTGGGCAGCAGCCAGTGAGGTAACTGAAAATAGAAAAAAGCTGAGAATACTTTCTGGATGCTCTGTAGGAACCTGTAAGTTCTTGTTTCTAAATTGGCTCCTAATCTGTTCATTTCCACTCATTTAATCTAATCAATTCAGAATTCTTTATTAAAGTGCTACAGAGCTGCATAAAAACCTGGAACCACGAGTTTGAAGTTTGATTTTATAAACATGCAGAAAGCTAAATTCTTAAAATGTTGAAGTAAAATCTGGAGCGAGCGGACGGGCTCAGCTGTTGGGGTGACACTTCTTCATGTGCAGCTTGAGGCTGTACTTGACCATGAAGCTCCTGGAGCAGAGCGTGCAGCTGAAGGGCCGCTCGCCCGTGTGCACGTTCAGGTGGGACCTCAGGTGGGCCGACTGCGTGAACTTCTTTCCGCACTGGTCGCAGGCGAAGGGCCTCTCGCCCGTGTGGATCCGGGTGTGGACCTCCAGGTTCTGCGCCGTGGCGTATGTCTTGTTGCAGATGGAGCAGACGAAGCGCTTCCTCTGAGGGTCATCGTCTGGTTCCCCCGCGGGGAGCTGGGACTGGCCCGGCGGGTCATTGTACAGGCCGAAGTTCAGCACGCTACCGCCGCTTTCATAATCAAAGGCGGGGCTTCTGGCGTCCGCAGAACCCGGGCCGGAGATGCCAACCAGCTTCAGCCCAAACGTATCACCCTCCATGTTCTCATTCTGACAGAACTGAGCAAAAGACATGGAGCCTTTGGTCTGCTTGGACCAGGCTGGCTCCAGGTTCATGTCCAGGTTGCTTCTGTTCGCCGTGGGCTGAGCCTCCATCAGACTGCTGCTGCTGAAAAAGACCTGCCTGCTTGGACCCGGAGGAACCAGCGAGCAGTCCTGAACCAGGTGGACATCCGGGTCCATCTGACCCGGATAGGAACAAACCGAGTCGCTGACTTTCATCTGGACGTCCTCCAGGAGCCGAGCCGAGCGGCCCGGTTCGCTCCGAGGGGAGTCCAGGCTGTAGAGGAGCGGGGTCTTCTGCGACCCCGCGGCCACTCGGGGTGTTTTCAGCACCAGCTGCTCAGAGGACGACGTGTCAGAGTCTTCATAGACGCGACTGCGGCGTCGCCTTCTCCTGATCATGGGAACCTCTTTGCTTGCAGCAGACGCCCCCCCATCAAGGTGCTTCCTCTCTGCTGAAAGATAAACACAGAGCTGTAAGGACCTGCTGGATGGATCCTGGAACCAGATTTATTTCCTGGAGGAAAGTTTAGACAGAAACAGATCCTCTGTTTGTACTGATGGAGCCACGGTTAGTGGCGGACTCCCTAAGTTTATAAAGACACGTTTCCTGTGGTTTTCTTCAATGTTTTAAGTTATTTCTTTTTAGGTGGACTATAATGATTATTGGGAGGACAGGTAAACGATCCCCGCAGTCCTGAGAGCTCCACTTCTGTTCTGCTGATTAGTCATCACAGCATCAGAAGAGCAGATCTAACTTTAGAACACTGAAGGAAACCATGGCTCATGTTAAACCCGAGTTACAGTACGCTACCAGTGGCGCTGCTAAGCGGCAGTAGGCAGATCAAATGTGACTTTAGTACATCTATCTCTCAGAGATGTACTGATCCAGTTTCCCCCACCCAATCCAATCCGATACTGAACTCTGGGCTGAAAGAATCGACCCACAGCCGAGACCGATGCAATCCTGCCGCTGAAGGAATGAAGGATGCCGGATTTCTTTGTGCCAGACACGTAAACAGATGTGCAGCCTTTAAATTAAAACACATCTGCTCCACTTCTTCTCTCTTTGCTCCCTTGCTTAACTGCATGAAAACGAAGCACACGGACCCGCCAATCAAAGGCAGGCCTTTCTAATCCAATCAAAGTAATTCCTGGTAATACTGCATTCAGATGGATGAAAGGAACCAATCTCCACCAGTAAATCAACAATACTACACCTACGGTGGTAGAGATTAGGAAACAACATCAGACTGTTAGAAATTAAACACTATAGGATTCTATATTAAAGCATTCCTAAAGAACTTTCAGTTTTGGCCGATTTTGGCTCCCCCCACTGGTAAAAAGCTGTATTGTTCTGGCTGAAGGAAGACAGCCTTTCCCATGAGGACCAGCTTGGTAAAATAGCGACGAGAAAATGAATCTAACTGTGGGGAAGCAATGTCATATGAGGATGTTGAAAATAAGAAACATTGAACTTTGGTTTTGTACCGTATTCCTGCACCGCCGCAGGAGTACAGAAACAGAGCTACTAAATTATTATTGACCTTTTAAATATATGTTAATATAGAACACTGAAGTGTTTATTTGATTACAGTGTTTTTCTTAAATCTTGTCACACAGGAGGTGCAGTATTTTGATTTACAGGTTGATTTTATTATTTTGTTTTATTTTTTTAAATGCATCTAAATGTAGTATTGGTAAGGGTTGCTTTGATTGGATGAAAAAGGCCCGTCTTCTATTGGCTGGTTGATGAGGTTAATTTACATACAGAAAAACAAGTTGTGAGGTCAGAGAGCTGAGATAATAGCTGTAAAGGATTGAGTTTGTCAGAGTTTAGAATCTCGTTATAAGGGAAGGGTTGTGAGTCTAGATCCTGCACACCGATCTCTCAGCCGACTGAGGTGGGTGGCACAGAAAAGCGCAATAATGTACCTGCTTCCTTCCCATGTGAGTGAAGGCATCAGGCTTGACATAAACAGCTACTGTGCCTGATGGCGTCACTGACACCACAAACGTAGAACTGAATAACTAGATCGCTGTGCCTGAGTTTCTGTAATGGTAAAAAAAAACTTCTGACTGGATCAGAATGCCAGATCAGCGTTAATTATCCGACCGGTATCAGAAAGGTGCCTTTCTGCTATCGCTACAGACCGCTACGGTGGCTCATTAAGTCCAAAAAGGCATGTTTTCTGTATTTGGGTCAGATCACCTCCTTAGAAAGAGGCTCGGTTGATTGGGTCCAGACCGGGGTTCACTGGGGTTCATCATCAACTAAAAAAGTCTGGACCAAAAGGGCAAAGAAATTCTGGTCCATTTAGCATCCATACATAAAAAAACCCTGAATGTTCAGGATCCATTGATAAATTCTTCCTTTCTACCAGGACTGCTTTCTTCCCTAAAAATTTGATTTTTATTGCCATCAGGAGTGAAAGACTGGCCTGATTGATTGCCCCCCTCCCCCAGTCAACAGCATCTCACTGACAGGCAGAGGAAGGACTGAACAGTCAGAGTTCCAATCAGAGCTACGGATGTTAAAAGAGGTTTCCCTGCTCACCGTCTTCTATGCTGTCGTATCCGTCTGAGTCTTCATCTTTGATCAGCACCACGTCTGGAACCTGGAGACGCCACAACATTCATCAACAGACACAGGATCAGGCTTATAAAACAGCGAAACATGCAGCCATGCAGGAGAGCAGTTTAAATCCAGGATAAAACACAGAGAACGTCAGCCATTCTTCTTCTAATCACCTCATCCATTAAAGCGTCGCTTTGCCTTCCCTCAGATTAGGAGCTAATTAACTTGAGAAGCAGCTTTTCTGCCTGCAGCTTCCACCAGAGAGGGAATAATCATTGGCTTCATCTCCACACCAACATGTCTGCATGAGCAGATTCTCAGCCCAGATAAGGAGAAGAATATTAACATCAGACCTAAACGAGACCTTCAGAGCTGTCTGAGGATGCTGTGGGTGATTAGGGAGCTGATAACCGAACCCTAATAACATAAACGCTGCCGTTCATCAGGGTCGCTTCTCTATTACAACTGCTGGCTTCTGACTGTAAACCGCTGCTGAGTTTAGGGTTCATTTTTTATTTTTACTTTAACTAAACAAACAAAATGTGGTTTCTATTTTAAGGGGGTTGGCTACCATCTAAAACACTCATTTTTGTTGAATGTTAGCAGCAGGTTGGTTTGGGTGCAAAAATAAATCTCTTCTGTCTGCTTAGCTTTTTTAAGCCAAATAATAATAATAGTGATGGTAATAATTAATGTGTTGTGAGGCTATTGTTCTTTAAATGGGACTTTCCAGTCACAAACACAGAATTATCCACCTGCTCAGCAAGAAGAGTCGCTCTCTGTTGTCCTAAAAGGCACTAGAATCAGTTTCCATATGTCATGCCATCCAGCTGCAGGACGTAATTCTGAATCCCTACCATTATTTTTCCTGTTGTCTTTCAAAGCAGTGTGGAGAAATACTTAGATATACGAAGGGGATTTTTTTCATGTAGGGATTTTAAGAGTAACAACTTCTATGGGAAGACATAAAGAAAAATACATAGTAGTAATGAAAGAAAGAAAGCAATGTAGAGACAAACAAAGAGCAGTATGAAGGACCAACTCTGCCATATTTAAAAATAAATACAGAAATAAATAAATGCTCAATAAATGTATAAGCATACAATTAATTGCCAACAAAAAAGTGAGACATAAATGTATATAACTCTTAATTAGCTTCTTTATTTATTTGCCTTTGTAATATTTACCTTATTTATTTTTCTGTCCTTTATAATCTTCAACTTTATTTTTTAATTACTTATATTTTTAAGTATTTATTTATGTGCATGTTATAATATTTTTGTCTGTTTTATTCTTCCTTTGTATTTTTTCACCTTAGTTATTTCTTCACCGCTGTTCATTTCTCTCTGCCCTTTTTACATTTCTGCCTGTCATATTAACATTTCTGTATGCATTTCTATCTCATTATGCAAATGAGGAGGGGGTGTGTCCTAGAGAGTCAACTTCTGCTCATTGGTTGGCTTGGCGGCCCGTCTTCTTAACTCGCAGAGCTCAGAGTACTAAGTTAAATGTTCTCTTTTCTGTTGCTGTTGTTCAATAAAAGTACGTTTTAAGATCATTTGAGGTGAGAACCTTATACTTTAAAGCATCACCATATGGCCCATTCACAGATTTAATGCGTAATTTAAAAGAAAATGTGACGAACTTGAGAGGACCGCGGCAACCAGCGGAGCTCTGAAGCTGACGGCAGCCAGGTCTAACCACAGCCCATCTGCAGCGGCCCTCTCTCGGCATAGCCGTGTGTGAAGCGTGTTGGTCAACATTTTACTACATCGGTCGAATCTACAGGAGGAGAGTCTGATGTCGAGTCTGAAGTCATTAGAACTTGAGTAGGGACTTTGCCAAACTTTGCCAAATACAACAAAAAATCGCCATCATAGCCTGGCTATAGACCTGGCTGCCGTCAGCTTCGGAGCTCCGCTGGTTGCCACGGTCCTCTCAAGTTCGTCACATTTTCTTTTAAATTACGCATTAAATCTGTGAATGGGCCATATGGTGATGCTTAAAAGTATAAGGTTCTCGCCTCAAATGATCTTAAAACGTACTTTAAATGTAAAAAGGGCAGAGAGAAATAAACAGCGGCGAAGAAATAACTAAGGTAAAAAAATACAAAGGAAGAATAAAACAGACAAAAATATTATAACATGGACAGAAAAATAAATAAGGTAAATATTACAAAGGCAAATAAATAAAGAAGCTAATTAAGAGTTATATACATTTATGTCTCACTTTATAATTTAATTTCTACTTACATTTATTTGTTTATTGTATTTTTGTTGCCAATTAATTGTATGCTTATACATTTATTGAGCATTTATTTATTTCTGTATTTATTTTTAAATATGGCAGAGTTGGTCCTTGTGGAGGTTCCTCCATCTTTTCTTCAGTAGTTGAAGGACTGGCTGAGTGGAGAGGACTGGTTGGAAGGCAAACCAGGAAGTGGGACATACCATCAGGCTGCTGGAAGCAGGGGACTGGATATTAGTCTGCTTCTCTCTCTCCACTTATGGCATAATTGTTAAAACATTTTTGGCGTTATGTTGTTTTCTTTTGATAGTTGTGTTATAGTCAAAAGGTGTTAGTTTGAATTAGTTATTTATGTTTATGCATTGTTTGTCTTTGTCTCATCTCCCACCCCTCCTCGTTTGTGTAGGCTAGCCTTTGTGTATAAATTCCCCTGTGTGTTCATTGTGAAGTCAGTTTTTTTTGGTTTGTTATCCTGAGTTAGGTATGCCTTAGTTTATTTCATTTGGGTACATTTTGTTATATTTTTTTGAGGTTTGATGTAAGCCCTTCTTTTGTGAAGATTATTTTTGGAAAATAAATAGAGAATACTTTTTATATGCCTTTGTCCTTGTGCCTTACTGGACGGACCACCACAGTTGGTGTCAGAAGTGGGATACTCCAGTTAAGGACAAAGGTATATTTATTGATCCTTTTTTTTTTTTTTTTTTTTTTTTTTAAACAAAAGAAGAAAAACCCTAAACCATGAGAGGAGCCAGAGGTGGTAAAGGCAAGTCAGCCCCATCAGACAAGCAAGACCAAACAGAGCATGAGGGGTGTGGTGCAGCTGGTGAAGAGGACAACGACGGGAGAGAAACAACCATATCTGACTTGGCAGGGATCCTTCAGGCCCACATTGGACAGCAGAAAGCTCGAGAAGCACAGTGGGAGGAAGAAATGGCACGCCAAGATCACAGGTATAAGGCTCTCCAACACCAGTTCAGGTTATTTCAAGAGGAGCTTCAGGCCCAGTCTTCTGCAGGCCTGAGGCCTTTTGTGCAAGACCACGCCCCCTCCTCTGCAGGATAGAGGCCTACTGATGTGGATGGTTCACCAACAGAACCGGCACTGTCTGCTGTTAAACCAGGTGATTCAGTCTCTACACATTTTTATAAAGAACCAAAGCTGCAAAAGCTAAGTGATGATGATGACGTTGAGCATTTCCTTATTACTTTTGAGAGGATTGCTCGTGTTTGCCGATGGCCAAAAAGTGACTGGGCATTTCAGTTGATTCCACTGTTGACGGGTAAAGCCAGGAGTGCCTATGTACATATGGATATGGATGAATCAATGGACTATGATAATGTTAAAGCTGCTATTTTACAGAAATATGAAATTAACAGCGAGACGTATCGGCAGAGCTTCCGTTCTCTTCACGTGGAACCAAATGAGTCCCCCAAGGAGCTTTATGTGAGACTTAAGGAACTGTATAATAAGTGGGTTCAACCACGAGGTAAGACTGTTGAAGAGATAAATGACGTCATAATTCATTAACAGTACTTCCGAATGTTGTCTCCAGAACTCCAAGTTTGGATTAAGGAACGGAACCCAAAAGATGCAGCGGAGGCAGTTTCCCTGGCAGATGCTTTTGTGGCAGCCCGTAGGAAGACTCAACCATGGGCTTTTAGAGCTGCAAAAAGGGACTTTATCCCAAGTCCAGGTAACACCAATCAAACGGGAAATGTGAGTAAGCAGTTTGGAAAAGAAAAATGTTTTTCCCCCAGTCAAACAAAATCCTTTAAAAAGCCCATCTGCTATTTGTGTGGGCAGGAGGGACACACAAAGCCCATGTGTGCTCAAAATCCTTCAAAACTCTCTCAGATGTGTTTTTCACCCAGAGAGAACAAAGTGTTGAACAGGAAAAACCAGCCACTCATGGAGACTACTGTGGAAATAGATGGGCAGAAGGTGAAAGCCCTGATTGACACAGGAAGCAATCAGACATTGGTGCAACGCAGGCATGTTGCACCACATAGCATTTGCACCTCAGAAACAATACCCATCTGCTGTGTTCATGGGGATGAGAAAAACTATCCAACAGCAGACATTTATATGAGGGTGCAAGGACATGTTTACCTTTTAAATGTGGGTGTTGTGGATGAATTACCTTTTCCTGTTGTTCTGGGAAATGATCTTCCAGTTCTCACAGACCTAATTAATGCTTCTAAAAGTTGCAATCTTGTGCTGACACGCTCCCAGGTAAAGGCCTCTGGGGAAGATGAGCCCAGTCTAAGGCCCCGTCCACACGAAGACGAACCCTGGCCTAAACGCACAAATTTTTCACCAAACCAGCCTCTCATCCACACGAAGCCGGCGCTTCGGGGGTCTGTAAACGATCTTTTTTTTATTCAGCCTTCAGAGTGGGAAGATTCTGAAACGCCGTTTTCGCGTTTCCATCTTTACGCCCTAACCGCATATTTTTTTTTACACGCATGCGTCATAGCGTCGCCTCTACACACACATGCGCGACCAGTATCACAACAACAATGGCGCCGTTGCTAATGCTACTCACCCTGCTGTCGGGCTTACAACAGAATCTTCTTCTTCTGGAATATCTCCAGGAAGAACAGAGCAATATCGACGACATAGTTCAGCACCTGAATTTCCCTTAACCACGAAAATGGACCCGCAGGGCAACCATGTATAAATATTAGTGCACATGCCCAACATTTCGTCGCTTATTTTTGCTTTGGCACCACAGCGCCACTTACAGGCCTGGCATACATTTTGCAGCGTTTTCATGCATTCGTGTGGACG